TTTACAGTTTGAGTGCTGATGATTTATTTTTATTTATGTGTTTTAAATTTGCTTTTATGTTTTAATTGGATTTTTGTCTTTATCACCAGCCATTTTTTTTGGCAGAATGGGATATAAATTTAGTAAATTTAGTAAATAGAGCAGACCTGGTAATTTAGCTAGTTCATAATTTCAATTATATTTTGAAATACAAATTTATATAAATATAAATATTTTACTATATATAATAAATATAGAAGATCTGGAAATTTACTTATTTCATTATTTCAAATATATTTCAATTGCCCAACTCATAATTTCCTGGGAGTAGTTGACAAATAAAACAAAAACAATCAAATTCACAACTGTTACCCTATAAACATAAAAATCAACTGAAACAATGTAAACATGTTAAAATATTGGAGGTAACGGGTTGACAATAACACTTCTACAGCAAAACGAACAAATAAAGATAAAAATTAAGGGCAAGTAGTTGCTGGAAAAGGTAGGTCTTAGTGTGGTGCTTAAAGGCTGCTGATGAGGATGCCAGGCAGATTTCCCTGGGGAGGGCATGAGCAAAACTTTTCTAACCAGCGGCATTAATGGAACTTTTCATAGATTTATACATATAACATTTGGGATTGATACACTACTGATCAAGTGGAGAAGTATCAAGAACCTAGTCATGCCACTTAGCAAAAGGTGAGCGATTTTATTTCCAACAAGATGGAAATAAATGAATACTCAGCTATTAATCTGCCCATAATCCTCAAACTGAATGCCTCCTTTGCATCATGTGCTGGCATGTCTGCTCTTCAAAGGGGTTCCATCACTTCATTTCAAAATAGCTACTTGCTTTTGCTTCTCCCGACAAGAAGTGGTAACTTTTTAAAGTTTGCAATTTACAGGTTTTATTTTTATCTCTTTTAAAAAAATAAAACTGAACTCATTAGCTTCATGTTGTATCACATAGGTAGGACAATGCAGCTGATAAAAAATAAAATAATGTGAATGACCAGCATACTGTGCAAATGTTCTTGCATTCTCATGATGTGATCCTTTTCATCAGCAGCCTCCCGTCTGTCTAACATCTGATGGAGTGCCAATTTGTTGTATGAACCTAGTCATGCCACTTAGCAAAAGGTGAGCGATTTTATTTCCAACAAGATGGAAATAAATGAATACTCAGCTATTAATCTGCCCATAATCCTCAAACTGAATGCCTCCTTTGCATCATGTGCTGGCATGTCTGCTCTTCAAAGGGGTTCCATCACTTCATTTCAAAATAGCTACTTGCTTTTGCTTCTCCCGACAAGAAGTGGTAACTTTTTAAAGTTTGCAATTTACAGGTTTTATTTTTATCTCTTTTAAAAAAATAAAACTGAACTCATTAGCTTCATGTTGTATCACATAGGTAGGACAATGCAGCTGATAAAGTATGCCACTGCCCATGAAAGATTATGGTCTTTCAAAACCATAATGTGAATGACCAGGATACTGTGCAAATGTTCTTGCGTTCTCATGATGTAATCCTTTTCATCAGCAGCCTCCCATCTGTCTAACATCCGATGGAGTGCCAATTTGTTGTACGCACCGTCATCACTATGACTTCTATGAAAGAGACAGAGGCAGCCTATATTCTGATTACCTCCAGATTAGCCTTCTGGAGATGGAGTCATCTTTGAAAATGGCCGAGAAGTTGCTGGTAGTATGTGATGGTCATTATTAAGCTATTAACTGATCCTCTATGCACATTTATTAAGTCCATCTGAATTTAGTGAAACTTTTACACTTTATAACTAAAAATAAGTTTAGGATGACACTTTTAGAGATGGGTTTTTATCTTCCATTTAACCTACTTACCAGAAGGGAAGATTTACGTATTGATGAGACTTAACACCTGAGGACACAGCTACACTAGCAGCAGAGAGCAAGCTAGCATGGGATGCTAGGGGATGGTCAGACTTGATTAGAACAATCTAATCAAGCCTGACTATTTGCACGGAAATGTTTCCTGCCGGTATCACTTTCTCTGCAGAGCAGACGGAAGGAGGATGTGAAAAATAATTTTTTAGCCTATTGCTGCTGGGCTGAATCAGTTCTGCTTTTTTTTAAAAAATGGCTTCTCTGTAAGGGAAGGTTGAAAAACTGACTACAGCCAAAGCCACCATTGTGAATTCTACTTCCTAATTTCTTAACTATTAAACGTCTGCAACTTTGTTTTAAAAAATTCCTGGCTTCCCTGACAAAAAAACAAAACAAAACAAAAAAAACCTCCTGCACATTTTTGTATCAAATGGAATGCACATCTTACTGGGTTTTTAACAAAACCACATTTCTCTGTGCTTTAGGGAATTGTTTTTAGTAGATTAACAGTCCCTTGGAAAGCTCCTAATAGCCCTCCTCAGTCAAAACTCTCTCTATTCCCACTTTCTTTTGGAAATCAGCAGTCTTCCAAACCAGATCTTTGAAAAACACTGTAAAAACTGCTGAAAATCTTTAAAAACTATCTTCTGTGCTGTGTTTGTTTGTTGAAGAACCAACGCTAACGCTGAGTCAAGAAGCTCCTCCTGCCTGAATTCCACCTTGGTACAAAGGAAAAGAGAGAAACAACTGGTCTCTGAAAGGAAGCATTTCAAAATCCAGGCTTCTTGTCCCCACTTCTGGCTGGCGTTCCGATCTGAGCTCCGCGTCAGATGAGCCATAGGGAAAATATTAATATTGCCGCGCACAGTCAGTTACATATTAGGTAGCTCAGTGCTTTAGGTAATTCGCCTGCACACCCAGAGATTGGGAATTCAGTTCCCCGTTACACATCTCTGATAAGGGCTGGGTTCAGTGATCCATACGGTCCCTTCCTGCCTTGTAGTTCCCATCACTATCATCATCATTCTACAGGGGAGCAAAAGTTTATTTATAAAGTAAGTATGGAAAAGTTTGCATACTGCGGAAAGCAGAGATGGGGTAAAAAAGCAACATGAGGATTGCAAATCGGTTTTAAATGCTGCTACGCCCCGGGTAGAAGCCGACAGTGCGAGCTAGCCAGACCTGTGCTCCTAGCATAAAATTAGAGGGCAGCGGCTGGGTACCGGAATTTCACTGCATGCCGGTAACCACCGACTCCCGTTCTCTTTAGTCTGGCGACACCGGGCGAGGAGAGTGACAGGATCCCAGAGAGCATCGCCACCTCCAAGGGATTGGCTCGATTCCTGCCGGGAGCCCGGATCTCCTTTAAAGGTCTAAGCAACGGGAAGGTGCAAATAAACCGTTGCTTAGTCCAAGTTGCACCGTTCCCTTAATGTTTCTCAAAACGCGAGATGCACCATGAGCAGCGAAGGTGCGGCTTCTTTACTATTAATTAACACGACAGTAAACACATTAACAGTAAACACAAATTCAAAAGTAACTCCAAACTCACCACTGCTTTTTTTTTTTTACTCCTCCGAGATGCAGCTTGTATCAGCAGGGACATCCAAAGCACTCCGTTTTTTAAAATGATGATGCCTCCCGTTTTGTTTTTCCGGCAATGGTAGAGGTGCCGCCCAGCCTTCTGGGATTTGTAGTCAACAGGGCTAGGAGTTTGCCTCTCCGCTGGCGAAGACAAGGCCAAGTCGGACTCTCCTTCCCAGACTGCTTTGCGCTGACAAGCTGCTCTAAATACCGCTTCTTGAGGAGAAAAGTTTCAGTCTTGTGGTGATGGGTGTTATTATTAGTAACGATGGGTGTGGGATGCGCAGCTGAGGTGCAAATAGCGACAGCCATAAAATTACATTTTAGAGAGATCATAGGCTATCCTTTCATTTTGGAACAGGCGATAATATTCTTCTGTCATAAGCTTACTAGAAGCGCCTTTCATTCCACTGGCGGAAAGGGTTTATAATTTTCAACCAGCCTTTTTCTTTCATGCACTATAAAATGCTACTATTATAAATACAGCTGAGCCCGAAACCGCATAAATCAAGCCCCATGTTCTTATAAAATGCAGCTACTGTATAACATTTTTTTGTTTACATTGATTCCTTCTTTAACAGTCTATCCTTGTGTTCCTGTGCTTTTTTATTTAAAGATTTTAAAGCCTGCCTGTTAGCTTTTCTTTTCAAACGATCAAGGGTGTCAGCAGCCTCTTAGCATGCATGGAGTGCAAGTGCCTTGAATGGGAACTAAGAACTGAATTTAACAAAAGAAGACTTTCAGAGGAAAATAATCTGGTAGTGTTCTCTCTCTCTCTCTCTCTCTTTTTTTTTTTAAAGGAAAAAGTTTTCAAAAATATTGAAATGGAAATAAGGAAACATGGATTGCAATGTTTACACTATTTTTCTGGCAACTGGCCAGGAGGATAAAATTCTGGCCACACCAGTAAATTTTTTGGCTCATTGGTGACGGCAGTTAGA